ACCTTTCAAACCATTTCAGTTCTATATTTCTTACGCCTATATCATATAACTTTTTTATCAAGATACTTCTATCCACTGTTTCGAATGCTCCTTTGAGGTCGAGGAAAACAGAAACTGACACTTTCTTCTCCGAGAAACATTCCCTCCATTCTGCCACCACCAAGTTGATTGCTGTTTCGCACGAGTGTCCTGCTCTAAAGCCTGATTGCTCTGGTATAATGATTTCATATTGCTGCATATAGTCTTGTAATTGATTTTTCACAATTTCCTCAATGATTTTTGTTTATCATTCGGTAAGGTGTTTATTGGTCTAATTTCCTCAGGTTTGTTGGTATTTCTCACTCTTTCTATAGGAATCACTGTTGATACCTTCCAAAATTTAGGAAAGATACCATGATTAAAACTTTCATTTATGATACGGGTAAACATAGCCATATAACCCAAGTAGTCAATACTGTTTTTTGTCACACCCTCTGTTACTAATTTCTGTCCTCCGTATTTGTTTTTTAATCTCTTAGATATTCGTCTATGTGTTCCTCCACTATAGGTGATTTTGCGATATTTTCCCTAATTTCTACTATACTTTCTACAAAATATTTATTCAGTTCACTGGCAATTTCGTATTCATCTTCGATGTCAATATTATTTATGAAAATTTTTTGNCAGTTCACTGGCAATTTCGTATTCATCTTCGATGTCAATATTATTTATGACAATTTTTTTGATGCTTGTTTTATCATTAGTCATTTTAACAGCTTTTTTTAAATTTCCACAATAGTTTCTGATTATTGCGGTTCATATGAATTTTATTTTCCATAAATTCTTTTTTTAGCTTTATCCTCTTTTTATAGGATCGTTTTAAATTCTTGTATTCACTCCACTCACTAGTTCTCTTTGCAGTCTTAAAAAGTGCATATTTCAGTTTATTAACCATTACCATCTATTTATTAGTTTTATTTGCACTCTTTTATCGTATGTTAATTTACTCATTGCTTCATGTAATATGTTATTTATTAACTGGACCTTCTGTCCTACATCACTATTATTCATTTCATGGTTATATGTTCTGAGTATATTTACAAGATTTTCCTTGCTATAATTTTCAAATTTTTACGGTTTTCATAAATATATCCTCATTTTGGATCTTTCTTTTGTTGGTATTTTAAATAGGATAGTTTCGTGATCAGAGATTTTATGATGTTCTAGGTTTTGTATTGTGATATCATCGTTATTAGAGTATTGTAAGTCGATTCTTGTTTGCGTCGTTTCAGTTATTCTCGTATTAAAATCAACCCGCTGAAACATTGAACAGGATGCGAACACATTTGCAAGTTGGTATGAATATGTTGATTGCATGCTGACATTAATATTAAAGTCACCAATAATTAATTTATTATTTGATTCGTCAAAGCTCTCATCTAACATATTCTCAATATATCTAATCAAGTCTGCATCACTTTTGTTAGGATAGTGATACAAAATACCAAGCTGCCAACGGCCAAATGCTGATTTCGTTAAACTTATTATAATACAGCACATATTGTTATCGACACATTTGCTGTAGTTTATTCTATAACTAATTGATTTATTTATATACATTATAACTCCGCCACTATGTCGATTAAATGAATTGCACCTCACATGGTTATATCCGATAATTTCTATTTCAGAATCAGTAACTTTCTCTGTTATATGGGCTTCAGCACAAAGGAAAATGTTTGGCACTTAAACTTCAATCATTCTTTCTATTTCTTCTTTGTTTGCGGTTAAACTATTTGAGTTAATGTATATAAACTTTATTTCCTTTTTGGCTCTGGATTTAAATCCATCTTTGGTTTGGGTAGCTTCTCAACTCAACCTTATCACTTAGTTGCTAAAACCCGATTTTCCTTTTTAGAGCGTCAATTTTGTTTAGATAAAGTGGACATTCGGGACTTATTGTTGAATGACTAGTATCGATATCTAGTTTAAGCCTATTGTTTGCTCTACTTGTTAAAGATAAATGCAACTCAGAGGCTTCAACTGCACAGCAACCCCAATAAACATATATGACGAGAGTGCACTTGTCATCGCAGTCCACGCTTTTTGCATACTCTTCGTGCGAGCTTTTTGATGCGCTGGTAGTCGCTGATTGGCTTGTCGATCGCGGTTGTATGTTAGCTACATATGTACATATGTCACACGATTGAGCCCGAGTACTAGTTTTTTAAGTTGAAGAATTTTAGAACGTAGATAAGCTTTACAATCGTGGTATGGGTGGCTGTAATGTATTTTGACGTGAAGTCTACTTAAATGAAAATTGCGTTATATAAATTAATTCTAACATTTTGTGGCATCCCTTGCGGGAAACCGTCTCTAGCCAATTGTTTAATTGTGTTAAGCAATTAATATGAACTATTAATACGAATTACATCACGAAATCTACCTGATCACGTGTTCGCCATCATGTCAGCTGAAAAGGAAGAAGGTCTTGCTCGATTAATTCTTAATTTTGCGGCAAACTCTAGAAAGGTCTCAAACAAAAACGAACTAAGGGCTATCTTGTGACCAGAATGAATCTACTGGCTGATTATTGGAAGCGCTACAATGACTTCCGTGATGACATTTCTGCAGCAGACGTTATTGAAGGCGAAGAGGCAAGGATAAGACGACATTAAGTGAAGCTCGTTTGGCAACAATAGAATCGGCGTACTGCGAACCACTAGGTGAAATACATGATGTATTTCTGGAGGAAATGGCTGAACTTTGCCTCAAACAAATAAATATATGTCCAAATAAGTTTGGAAAGGTCTTGGATCTCGTTTACGTTGATGATGTTCCGAAGGCCTCTATTAATCGGTGTGATCCCCTAGTTTTGCCGGAAGATGCATACCATCCTGCTCTTGAGTTAAGCTACGAAATCATAAATGAAATACATAATAATAAGTCAAGTTCAAGTACTAGATATGTTTTTGCGAAAGCAAATTTCAGGAAAATTAACAAAGAACTTTCAAAGTTATCTTGGCCAATATATAGAGATGACGTGGAGCGTAGCGTTGAGCACTTTAATGATACTGTTTTCAATTTGTTTCGAAAGTATGTGCCAATACGTAATATTGTTCATGAAGAACCAATACAATTATGGTTCACTAAAGATCTTAAAAAATTGAAAAATAAAAAGACGCACTCTTTTAAACTGTATCAAAGTAC